TTACACTATTGTACCATGGTGATAAAACCAAGTTGGTACCATTAGCTCTTATACAAATAACAGGGATGAAGAATTACAATGTGTATAGGCTGAAAATCCTTCCTGGGCCCAGACTGAGGATATCAAGGGAAGAAACAGAAGATCTGAGAAGCAGCAGAAAACAATTTGCTGCCTGGATGATTTACTAAAGTTGTATACTAGTGAAATCTTGCCTTTCTTATTGCTTTTCTTCCTGTGTGGTCAGGACAAAAAGTAGTACTGTTTAGCTACCACGGCAAGGAATGCCAGGAAGAAAATGAACACTCAGAAAATTTGAATATTTTGTAAGTTTTGTGAAAATGTAGAGAGATTTTATAGCTTTATACTCTGTTCAGCTCACTAAATATTTATCCTGCAGAAGTCTGATTTCTTGCAGGGTGATGTTCTCCCCCAGCTCCTCCTCTTGTAATTTAAAGGTCTGACTTTACACATTACAGGTTTGGAGCAGTGTCTTTTGAGGGTGGGGGCAGAGCAGGGGGAATTGGATAACTGCCCAATTTCATATGATAAAAGTGAAATTCTCTGCTGTCTGCAGGACAATCCCCAGGGAATAACGTATGAAACCCAAACTTAAATAAAATCATATCCTGTTTGCAAACATCATATTCCCTTTGCTTCTCAGTAATCTGGACTCATAAACCCCAGCACAGCTTGAGAGCCCATTCCTCATCTAAACAAATGCCATAAGCCCCTTTATACTTTTACAACCATGTCAGAAAATAATATTGACTGCCAATAGTGATGTGATTGGAGTTGCCTCCTCTGAGCCATAAAAGAAGCAGTCTGTTATCAATTTCTCTAAATGCATCAAGGGAATTATGGGTTGGTTCAGTTCCAAGTTATAAATGACAATTCAAAAGCCGCAGAAGTGTTTGAAGCTGGGAGCCGATGATGACATTATCATAAAAGCCTGCTCTTCTTAGCTTTTGTGGGTTTTTTTGCCTATCAACTAGACAAAAAAATATGGCTGAGAAATGACTTCAAGATTTCTTCACACAGCAGCAGGTCAAACAGGCAGGAAAACAATCACTATTTTTAGTGACAGACTGAAGCAAGGACATGAAACTTACTTCCATTAAAAGTTGATTTCTGCTTCTCTTGTCATTTTCACAGCACAACAGAAGGGAAAATAATGCAATAGATGGATGCATTGATCAAATGATCACTTATAGATCTAGTGGCTGTTTACAGATGAAAAATTGTGGAACAGTCTGATAATCTGCAGAACCAAAAAGTAATTTGTGATTATGCTCCCCATTTGGCCACTTCACCTGCAATCTACCCACCTCTCCTGGAAAACTTTTCACATTCCAAACCGCTGACCAACTGCAAGAAACCATCACTTGTTATTAAAACTGCTGGCCATAGAGCTGCTAGTCTCTCTCTAACACAAGGAATTTCATCCCCCCAAGTATTACAATTCTTTAACAACAGTTGGTTTTGGAACAGCATTAAGCTTGAAAAAAAAATGAAAAACACTACTGCAAGAAGGATGTCTCATACTTCAGCTGATGTTATACTGCTGACCCTGGATAGTCCTCTGATAAAAAATTAACCATCGTTGAAACAAAATCTGTTGTGTGCAAATTTAGGAGACTAGATTTAGACAAATTTTTTCTCCTTCTCTGCGAGACCCATTCAGTTTTGCGGTCAGTATAAAACAACTTTGTGCTCTTAGATAAGAGAGCTAATTATTACTTACATAGTTTCTTATAAAACTATGAAGTTTATTGTTTGATTTCTTCTGAAAGCCTAAGATATACCAAGCCAAATTTGCCAGTGACCCTAAGATAAACAGTCCCAATAACTATTTGAAATAAGATTCATATGGATGAAAAATGTTTGCAAAATCAGTAAGCAGTAGCTTTACGTGCATTTTGAATTGGTACAAAAGATTTAGAGCCATGATGGAACAGGATCAGAAAATATTAGTTATGGACACTGCCTCTCATTTGCTTTTCAAAATTCTTGAAAAAACATTCTTTTACTGTAGCTGTAAGTAACTTCCAGAGAGGAAGATTGATGATCTTGACTGCAGTTTGTCAGTGCTGTTAGAACAGAGATAAAACCAAAATCAGTAATATAGCAGAGTTCAGGGTTACAGAGGTTAGTTGGACCTTTGTTTGTGAACAACGCAAGCCATCCCAAACTCATGCCAGCATAGTCTTTATCGCGGCTAAGCTGACTATGTCTTCAGTGCCTTTGCAGTCCTAGGTTCCAGTCCTTGCTTCAAGAGCAGTTTCCATTTTGTCCAGTGATTCTTTCACATGAAATATATAAGCTGTTTGTGGAGTAGGGGCTCAGAGCTATGACTTCACATTATATATAAATGTATGATAGGTAGATCATAGCCTTAGATACATCGGTTTGATCCCACTTCTGCTCTGTCTTACTGGCCCAATGTTCTTTCCAACAGTGGCACAGCTTCAGTGAGTGGTGTGAGGGACCCCGACCAGAAACAATCTATGATCTCCTCAGTGCTAACAACATCTGCTAAGAGATGGGGACTCTGATATTAAATGCAGCCTGGCAGTGGAGAGAAATGAGCCTAGGTTTCCCATTCCCTGTGTGAGTAGTCTAACCACTAATCTATTTAGTAATAGAAGAGCTGCATAATAGCAGCCAGCAAGGTCCCGATATGGTTAGAAGACAATAGAATCAAAGAGGTCTGAAAACCATCATTCAGGAGGCATCCATAAAGTCTCCTGCAAGAACAGAAGTATTTTTTTGTTAATACTTTCTTACTATATTCTTTAGCAAACAAATAAGCAAGCAAGCAAGAAAATAAATGAGAACAAACATTCTAAAAATTAATTATTTCATCCTTCCTGAAAATCTTCGCCTGAAGTACTCTTACTGCTTGATATTGATTACTTCTTTATAATCCTCAATGAAGTTGAAAGCTACTAAGTAGCAATGTTTCCTCTTTCTTACTACCATCATTTTTGAAAGCAAACTTAAGAATTCCTTTCCACACTGTTTGAAGCAGCTCTGTTTCCCAGAGCTCATCTTAGCCAGTAGACAGCTAAATATCATTGAAAGAGAGCTCCTAATCTGATTATTTACCTTGAAAAAGGTCATAACCCATTCTTTTAAAAGAACCCCACAGCAAGCCTGACAATAATAATATGTAGAAAGGAAAACCAACTAGAAAAAAAATAAATAACAGATCAATTTCTACAACATGTTCTTTAATCCAATCTCCATGATTTTAAATAAGAAATAAAGCAAACAGACTTTAAAAAGTCTAGATAAATTGAAGTACTTAAAAAAAAAGAAGTTATACTGAGCATTTCTGACTTGCATTAGCTTTAGAATGGACAACATACTTTCATTAGTAGAAGGCTGTCAAAGCACAACTCTATTAAAATTTTTTTAATACCACAATAACTTGTTTCATAGAAAAATCTTATACTTTAATTTTCAAAGCATACCATAGACTATTTACTTTCCAAAACACTCAAAAATTTTGTCGAGAAATTTTACATCAGCTTCTATTTACCCAGAAGCTTGAACAACATTCTTTCTCAACTTTATTCATGTCATTCAACCTTCTCTGAACTTCTTAACAGCTTCAATAACAGTGTGAAAATATACCTTTTTTAATACAGAAATGGGTGCATATGCATGTGTGTGCACAGATGTGCACAGAGGAGTGCACAGAGGTGCATGTGGACATGCATGTCTACATGTCAATGTGTAGTGTTAGCTGTTCCACATACAAAAATGACCCCAACTTTCAAAATTAGTTAGTCACGAAGTTCCAAATTTTAGGCAGAATCCTCAGCATGCTTAGTCCACTGCAGAGGAGCTGGAATGACTACCACTGCCTGATTCTTTGTTCCTTAACTTATGGTTCAGAAATCCTCAAAAATTACTAAATACTGAAAGCTAAAATGGAATTTTTCTTTTCCATGTGTTAAAACCTTACAAAATGAGTATTTCTTCTGTCAAGTATCTCATAACAAAACCCCCCACTATAAACAAGACTAGTATGGTATGGAATTTATCCTTTGTGAAGGATAAAAGTAAATAAAACCTTGGAAGGTTGCACTGGAAGTTGACCTCAAGAAATTGTGGCTTTATTCCTGCATACTCAGAAACAATGAAAGGGAACTAAAATATATATGCATCATCCAGCCACCCTATCTATATCTAGCAATATCATAATTTCACTTGAATATTGCTGACATCAGTAAACAATGGACCCAGATGGACCAAAAGTGTAGAATAATTCTGTGTGAAAAAGCCGTGTATGTGAAAAATTATTTCTCCCTCGTATGATCTTCACTAGAATTTAATAGGAGCATGATATCAACCTCAGTAGAAATTCTCCATTCTATATGTAATTCAATAATTTAGATTAATTCTTTTACCTAGTGTTGTAACACATTTTTTTTCTGCAGATTTTTGTCTGCTGTGTCCTAATACTTGCAAGCTTGCATTTCAGAATTAATCCATTTCAAAACAGGTCATAAAAATGCTCAAATAATTTATTAATTTAATAACACCCAAGTTACTAGCTAGCAGCTAGTGAGAACTTCTCATGCTAAATGTTATCTTTGGTAATTTTGTTTGTCCTTTCTGAGAAATGTGAAGCTATATTTGCTTTTCAACAGTACACAAATTAGCATCTCCAAAGCTCATTTCTGCTATAACAATTGCACTCGTGTTACTTTCCTCAAAAATAGAGCTCATGTAAAAACCCCAAAGTGTGACAACTAAGAAATGAGCACATTCTCACAAAATATATTCCTGTCTAACTGTTCCATATGCTTATTGTAATGTACTGTCTTCTGTGTCTTTGAAAACATAGTATGATAATGGCTCAGGTTTCATCTCTACATTTTTTATCATCTTCTGAAGACTTTGAACTGCTAATGCAATAGTGCTTAAGAATTCATGAATGAATACACATCTTGCATGCTGTCCTTCTTGCAAAGAAACAAACATCTACTTACCCCAAGTCCCCCACAAGGCAATAAGGAAAAGAGTTTTTGAGACACGCTTCCTACATATTAAAGAAAAAAAGAAACAATAAGCATCATTTATCAAAAAGTCATTTAAATACTGGAACAGTAATCACTCTTTACCATAATTCAGATTTCAGTATCACACAATGAAAATGCCATCTATTAGAATAAAAAATATTAATAGTACTTGGAAGCAAATCAGCTATGGGACATTTAAGGTACTCTTTTGCAACAGTGAGAAATCTTAAGATTGGTAAGCAGCAGTTTCAAAGGAGTATAATGATGGAATCTCCACAGAAAGTCACTCTGAACTAGGGCGACTAGACATCACGATATTTGTAGCTGATAAGCTGCTTGGCTAAGCCAGTCAGCTTCTTCTACAGCCAGAGGAGTGAGGTAGGCACCTGTACCCAGTCCAGATGACTGATGGGACGAATATACTTGAGAAATGCCTGTTTCTTTTCACTGACAACATCGGGAACCTCATGAAGCTTACATGAAACTGATGACTAATTTCTTATCTTCAACTCCCAAAAAACGTTTCTCCTTTGAAAATCACAGTCTTAGTCTTCCTATCTATGCAAAATGCTGTTCTCTTCATTTACATACCATCAATGAATAGGTTAATATTTTTAAAACATAGAATGAAATACTACTTTTTTTCAGTACTACTCTGTAAATACATTCTAATAAAGGGAACGAAGACTTAATAGCCTTTAGAATCTAATTTCAAGCTTAGTCTGCTCTATACATTAGATAATGGTATAGGGTTTATCTTAATATTTATACTCACTTTTATTCACTCTTGTTTTCTTTTTTTGTGCCACTAAACTCACTGTGTCTCTGGATAAGGACAATATGAAAACTGGGTAAGGATCTCAGGATTTGATGCAGTTCCTACCCCAGTATGTAATCTGATCCTAAGGCAGCTGTGGAAGAGAACATATGCTTTTCCCCGTGCTGGATCACAGAAGTGGCTTTGTAACTTTGCCATCTGGAGTAAGCCTTAGATAGTGAGTTGCTCAAGTTACCTAGAGGAGCCATCCATTGTTATGGGAGGGGCGAACGCTGCAGTTACTCATTTTTAGCAGGTGCCAATGAAATGCATAAAGACAATTATAAGCCTTCATCTTTGAAGTACGAGAGACCAGACTGCAAGGTCTGAGATGGAGAAAGTGCTTTACACTTTGAGTAAAATCCAAGATGCATTTTCAGCTGACGAGAGGCCTTTGATCAGTTTGCACAGTGTGCAAGAGGAGCCAAACAAAACCTCCTGTGGAGCTACCAGGGGAAATGCAGGTGCAGCAGCTATGCAGAGTATTCTCATACTGTGAGTCCTAATGGCCCCAGACGTGCAAGGAAATGTTGGCTGCAGAAGACTGTCAGAGTAGAAATACAGGAGGATTTTCCAGATCTCTTGCTAAGCAGATCCAGGGACCAATGTGAACAGCAATTTTTCACTTTTTACTGCGGGGAAGATCAAAAAGTCTTGAACAGATAAGTAAAAAATTAATGATGTTGAAGTGTCAGAAGACACTAATGGAAACATAAGATGTAATTTGAGATAAAAGAAGGCATTTTTAAAATACTGAATGACTAGAAATTTTTTCTTAAATTCCATTGCAGAATTGGGATGTAAGAGAGAACAGATGAATTCTCGCTTATCTCACTGCAGCTGGGCACATTGTGCATAGTAAACACTATCAAAAGCAACAAACACAAAGTAAAAACAGAAAAGCAGATGTTGAGGAAGGACACTAAAATCAATCAACAGACAGTACTAAAACGGAGGGAAGCAAGCACGAAACCTTTTCATTGTATCAAGAAATTTGCCAGGCTACTGACTTCTTATTGCACAGTAGTCAAAAAAAAGCAGATAACAGAATCTGCAGAAAAAGAAAAGCACTGAGAATTCATGAAAATAACAGTGGGGAAAGATTCTGCTAAGAGAGAGTGGGACCATCACTTAGCTAGCCTCACCAAAAGAAGAGAGCTCACAACACTTTTTTTCCATAAATGAAATTCAGTAACAAAAAAGCAAACCCTGAAAATGAATCTAGATGAGAATTTCCCGTGATGTTTGGAGTTGATGCCCTGGCAGAACTTGGTAAATAGCAGTGATTTTCCAGTAAGACCCTTCCACACCCTAGGATACCTCCAGAATAATAATAAAAAAGATAATGTGATGCTTCAAGTAAGATAGAAGACAAATTTTAAATACTGATACTTCTATTGGCTTTGCATCAGGACAGAGTATGCAGTCACCAGCAAGTCACTTTAGACAAGATTCAGCACAATTTTCTGAGAGAGCTGGAAAATTTATCCAAATTTTGCATTCTAAAATTTCAACCCACAAAGTCAATAGAAGCTAGTTAGCCAAATTAGGTGCTGAGGCACCCATCATTGACTGAGCTCAGGGCCTCTACAGGAGTCAAGGAAGCTTCTTAGGAGACTGGTAATAGAGTACTGAGAGTCCGATGAGCAGAAGTGATGGGCAAGAACTCTTTCAAAAAAGTCAAAAACCAAAAAAGTATGTTCACTTGCAAAAAGGCACAGTTTGAGAAACTTGATTGTTTTCAGTATCATCCCTCAAGAATGAAGCCGTTTCTGCTAAATGGTCATTTTTTCACTGGCTTGAAACTGCAATTGCACAGATGCTCTGTGAATGCGTCTTTCAGATGTACTTTGAGTACAGGCTCACTGTCAGGGACGTGTTGACAGTGTATTTCTCCCTTTTACAAAATTGTAACCGTTGGAAACTTGATTTTTAGAAACACTTTCTTAGTTTTGATGGAGAGGGAAGAAGCAAACAAATTCATAAGACCTGTTTGATAACTCTTCTGTCCTGATCTTATTCAAAGAAGTTTGAAAGGTTGTCTTCTGTCACATGAATCAGTAATGTGATGTGACACACAGTCTGCATGTTAGTTTCCTTTATGTCAAGACAATGTAATGCAACGTAACATGTTGCTTAACACACCACACTGAAACATGATCGGCCAACAGCTTAACTATGAAGTAGTGCAGAAGTTGAAGTGATCATTTGCAATAGCTGCATTTGTAGGTCCTAATGCAGGGAAAATAAAGCCAAATTCATAATCTGAAAGCATTAAGAATACGTGAACTATCACTGTGTTCATCATTCTCACTGATTTCAGTAGCTCACAGCTAGTTTGCTTTGCAGTCTTTCAGAACAGTTTTGTTCCTGTACAGGGACACTGAAATCAGCATTTATTGACAAGTAGCTCATTTCTAGCCCAAGCTGTACTTAAATTTCATTCCTTTGAGTGTTTGTTTTCTGTCTGAAAGATACAGAATCTGCTTGTTAGCGAAAAAAAAAAAAAAAAAGAAAGAGACCTTCAGACTATGCAGATGTACTCTCTGAACAGGGACAGGGAACAAACAATTTTCTGGAGCACAACTGGAGAACAAATGGTACCTCTGTCTTTTTGGTTGGCTGGAAGAGGAAGAAAAGGTATGAGTAGGTCCCCCTTTTCATTAGGATGCAAAGCCATAACTTGATGGAACAATTTCTATAGAAAAATAATGCACTTTCATTGAAATAGAAATGTTTTATGAAACGATGCGGTTACTGGTGACATTTTTGATGAGAAACATTTCCTTTAGATTTTTCTTCTTTGCTACACATCATTTTGAATTTCTATACTATATCAAGATGTTCATTTTAATGTCAGAATTGGTTAGGTTCAACCTCACTGAACTGGGGACAATGAAGGTGGAACAGTCGAGTTTTGGAAAAATGTAAGAGACGATTAAGTCCCTTTATACAAGAGTCTGGAAGCTCAAATGATTAGAGCTTCCAGCCAAAAAACAGGTACATGCAAAAGCATGTGGGAAGAGTGTTTCACTGACTGTTGTCTTGGTAAAAGGCCATGTGAGAAGCAGCAAGAAAACATCCTAGAAACAGACAGAAAAAGGCAATAAACCAAGGATACAGTCAGAATACATGCTAGGAGTTTGATTCTGATATAAACTCAGAGTAAATGTTCTGGACTGCCAAGTGAAAACGGCAGAGTGTCAGGTAGAGAATCGTGGGAAAAGATATCGTTTTCTGAGGTTGGGTAAACAAAGGTTTTGGCATTCTCTATACATAGGCAGAAACACAGTGAGAATACCTGGGTCCATTCGTTCTTTCACCTTGTAGCTGCAACTACACGCTGCATCCTATATGGTGGTCAACCACTGAGATCCAAAATGGGAACAATATTATATATCAATGTATGTTGTATCAAATAATGTAAAAATTAAAATGAAATTAATTGAAACCAAGAAAATTTAAATGAAATGCTTAACTCTATCAAAATGGAACATTTTGACAATGTTGATGAACTCAAATCAAAATGTATCCAAATTTTCATTTGGCAGGAATTTAGAGGTTTTTCTTGGGAACACTTTTTTTTTCTTCTTCTAAAGGTGGGATTTCCTACCTTGGAAATTCAAGCTCCTGAGAATCTATGATACTATAAGTATTTTTGTTTTGATGTTGCCTTGGCTAAGAAGATGTATAAACTTACATCACGTGATCAAGACAATTTTATTTACTCTTTACGGCTCGCTGAAGCAACAGTCTGCCTTAAAGAAGAAACCTTTAGCATTAAATTCCAAAGCTAAATAATTGCTATGTATTACTAAAACTGTGGCAGCAATTTCTTTTGATGGCTAGTATTGTTTTTGTTTGGGTTGGGTTTTATTATATTTAGCGAAAGCTCCACATCTTAGAGTAAATGTTATAAAAATAGCTGAGAATTAGTGTTGCATCCACTGTGCTGGGACATAAAAGGCAGGATTTCACTCACAGATAATTTTCAAAATGCACTACTTTTTTTTGTGTGTTTTCTTTCACATTCTCTGAAGCAGGTCTGACAAGTAGATCTACTTCGTGCTACACTCATGGCATAGCTCAGTTTAAGACTACTTTTCTATTATAAAAAGCATACATTAAGCATTGGCTGTGCATAAAGATATTTAATGTCAAAATTCTGTCAGTTTTCTGCTATCCTGTATCAGGAAGATATTATATCCTGCATAACGGGAGGGCATCAAAATAAGGTTCTCTTATTAACAAGACTTAGGCATGGTATCTGCACTCAGTGTGGCTGAAATAATTGAAATAAAGCAAATGAGAACAGCAAATAATCTTTTCTGACAAGCAAGTGTATCTCAAACTCCTGTTTTCAAATCAAAGAACACAAGGAGACAGAAGATCAACAGTGTCCAAAATTGCCTTTGACCTCCGGTGGAGAACGAATTACAGTAAAGGGTTAAACACTTTGCTGGTTTTAAAAATGAATGAGGAGAAACTTCTACTGCTGCTTTCCAGCCTGTGCATTTTGCTAATCTGTATTTGGCTTCCATTGTAACATTCTCCTTCCACATAGAAATGCATTTGGAAAAAGTGAATTTTTGTCACACTGCTTGCCAAGTATTTTAAGCTGACACCAGCTATGACTAATGACAGTGCTGGAATGTGCTGTTCTCAGTAGAATAGAGGCCTGTACAGACCTAGGAGTTTCCTGGGGTCCAGCTTCTGTCTGTTCAGGGGGCTGGTGCCATACAGCAGTGAATGATGTTCAGAGTGAACCAGCTGTATTTCCTCCAGACTGGCTTTTCGACCTCGAATTCGCTGAAAGAAAACAGCAGAGGCCTACAATATTCCACTGACAATATTTAGGGAGGGAAAAAAAAAAAAAGTAAAGGTCCAAAATAACATTCAGTATGATTAATAATGGGTTGAAATTGCATCATGCAGGAATGTGACACTGATTTGTTTATTAAAGTAATGCTATATGAAAAACAAATGCGTGTGTGGTTTATCACAAATGCTTCACTTAAGTCTTAACAGAATTAATACAAGATTTCACACACAAGAAAAGACTCTGCCTCTTTTCTACATTATATTAAGAGATACAGACCAAAAGGTGAAATATTCCTCAAGAAAAAAAGCTGACTAGAAAAATTCTAGTTTAAAGAGCAAAAAACTTATTCGCACCTGTAAGGTGCAGATGTGTTCTGAATGAGAATTAATGTTTTTTGCATTGCTAGTAAAGCTTGTGATTTACGCTGCTAGGAAGAACATGATCACAGTGAGGAGATCCAGGGAGAAGAAAAAATTAAAGTTTAAATGCTTTAAAAATATATTTCTATATCTTTATTTTTTTAATGTATGTTTAATATCCCAGGATCATTTTTGCTGTTACAAATACTCACTCACTTATTTGCTTACATTTTTGTAAGTGGAGTTTGTCTCTGTTTCTCCAGCCTGTAGTCTCCACACTTAAATCAGTGTTAAAAAATCTTTGATGTCTTTCTATAAATCCAATGAGATTTAATCAGTTTAGGAAGAAAGGAAGATAGGAAAAAAAGAAGAAAGGATTAAAACTAACACTTTCTTATTCAGCAGATCTCTTCCTTGTATGTATTTTGGAGTTACAGATTGTCATAAAAATGTTTACTTGTCTGTTTGTGCTAGTGGATCACAGCATTTACAGACACTGCAACATGAAGCAGATTTTGTTCAGGTTGGGGCATAATAAACAGCACTGTCAACAAAGTTCTGGTCCCAAGATCATCTTTCTTGAAGATATTGGATAATGCAGAGAGAAAACAGCCCATTTTTAAGATCTTGAACTCTGTTTGCAGAGCTGGTCCTTACAAACACCTGGGGCAAAACCTTCATCGACTTAGACTGTGGATCCATTCGACTATTAAGATCTATAGTTAAACAGGTACAGAAGTTATCTAAATAGACCATCCTATTTTTAATAGACTGATTAACCTGTTACAGAAATAACACTCAGTTCTAGTTTTCTTAGAGGTTAAGTTGTAATTCTGATCTTCATCACCTATTCATGGACATCAGAAGGCACCAATCTCTTCACTAGGAGAAGAAAGCTATATTATAAATATGAAAGAGAATGTGCACTGCGGAAGAAAGGAGCTGCTTAGGGGGGGTCAGCAGAATCATGCACAATTTATATTGAGTCAAACAGTGGCAATTTTCCTCTGACTAATCAGGAAAAATGTCCTAAGACTTAGATCTAGATGACTGCGGAACCAGCTCCCACTCAGGTAAATGGTGGAAGCCCTGTTTCTTGCCGTGTCCAAAATTTGACTGGACACAGCAGTGGAAAAAACATTTTGGGGAATGATCCAAGAACTAAATGACTTAATAAACCCTTTTTCATCCCTAATTTCTTCAAGCCTCTCCCAGTCTTACATGAGAATTTGTAGCAGTGCACTCACATCCTTTTAACACACAGTTGCCCAATCAAAATCAGCACATTATGTTACTTCATGGAGTCAGTAAACTCTGTAATGGTTCTTCTGGGTCAGATAAAATGTTTTTCTTCACAGGTGAGGTGACTGGTAACATTTATTTGTTCATCCATTCTCATTAAGTTCTGTATTTCTAATAAGCTGCTTTAAAATCTATATACCCAATTCTCCACAGCATAACTGGGAAGAGAGGCTGGCTTTTAGGACAGCTAAAACAAATGCATAAGAAAAGTTAAGAGGTATTTTATGAAGGTCACTTCAAAGAACGCTGAGTAAAATACTCAATCTCTGGTCATATATTTTCTACAATTTATACAAAAACTCTTTAAAAGATGTTTAAAAGAGTTAATTGCCTGGCTCTCTTTAAAGTGCTGTTAAATGCCATATCCCTTTAACCATAAAAAGATCCACAGTCAGCCGTTATTCCTACAAAAGGGAGCTCTGTGATATCCTATGGAATACACAGATTTTCACTAACAGAGTAGGGTCTGCAAGTGGCCTCCCTGAAAAGTTTTGCCAAGGACATACTTATTACCCAACATTGCCAGCAGATTGTTTAGGGCAGAAACAGGTTGTGCAGAAAGAGGTTCAGTGCAGAAATCAAATAACACTGAACAGAACCCCCCACCCAGGCTGCTCCCAGCAGTGGGGTCCTTGGGGCACAGCCAGCAGCTGAGCTGCCAGGGCAGGCACAGCCCAGAGATGCTCTTTCTCCACGGCTTCTCCAGCTCTAACCTTGAGCATCGGCAAGAACATTTACACAGTAAATGGCAGCAGGAAAGGGAAGGGTAAACAGTGTACATGTCTGTGCTGTTTCTGCATTCTCACCTCCTCTGCCTCCTCATTTACTGTTCCTTTCACCCCACTCTTGCACTATGTCTGCCTGTCAAGCAATTTTAAATAACATTGAAATTTCGGCTATCTAAGGCTCTACGCAGAGGAAAAAATAATTTATATTAAAAATTGCCTGTAGTAATTGCTAGGTACAGTTCTTCTGACACAATGAACTCAGGATTTAGCAGATCTACAAAAGCATGTCATAAATCCGTTGCCAGAATCTGGGATCATGTAACTTCGGTTATGCAAAGCAACGGTTTGTGGCTCTCACTGGCATGAGTTATCAGACAGCATAACATATGCACTTGTATAGGCTTACACATACACTTTTATCCACATCTTATTTATTTTAAAGTGTCTTTCTTAATTTTCATTGGTCATGGTAGTATCAAAAGTCTAAAATATAGTAGAATGTAGAAAATTGGCATAAAGCCAATGAAAAAGGAGGAATAGCACATGAGAACTTACGACCAGTATTTCTTTCATTCAGGGGGATCTGAATACTATATCCATACATCTACTCCATGCTTAGTAGAAGGCAAGTCATCCTGTACTAATGTGCTTGACAATTTGTGTGTTGGCTTTCTCCTCTGACATATGCAGTTCCCTCATCAACAGAGATATTTACACATCTCAAGACAGCATAATCCTGCACCTGAGTGCTTAAAAAAATCAGTGTAGAACTAGAAAGTTATTCTGCCCACAATGGGAAAATGCTTTCACCTTTCATAGAATTTAAGGTCGAAGAGGACTGCCTAGACTGGTCTTCTGTTTAAAATAGACCATTAACGTTTCTCACAGATAACCTCTATTTACCTGAAGATTTTGGTTAGACTTTCAGCAGACTAAACTCTTGCACAGTCAGAGATTCGAAAAGACAAAGGTTACACTGCCTGTTTCTCTCTACTAAACTAACAGGAATTGTTGACATAGCTTAAGCAATATTTCTCACTCAGGTCTCTCAGTGTAAGGTGTCCACTGCCTTTAGTGCAGCTATCTGTACAAACATAGTGTCTCTGAAATTACCTAGGCTATCTAGTTTGTAAACAAGGTCTTCAGAGTATTTTATGCTTTTCTGAGATTTCTCATAGGTGTTAAGTTCTCTCTTGCTTTTAAAAATACACATCAATAATACAGATCTTTTGCCGGTCAGTACACCGACATCACTTGCTCCCTCTCCACTATATAAGAATTGCAAGCATATCTCTGACATGCATGCACCCACATAGAGATGCAGTTATTCTCTTCGTATGTTTTGGTCTTCCAGTGCCTAACCTGAATATCCTTCAGTGTCTTCATGGACAAATTTTCTTGTATTATGGAATTTCTTCATATATTCCTGTCTGTGTGATCTGGCAGACTCAAAAGTTTTCAAATCTTCAAATTTTTCCCTTCTCTCCCCTTCGGTCTATGAAATGTGGACAGCAGGAGGTGTAAGATATCTCCCTAATCCAGAAAACCATCAAAATTCAGATCAAATTCCAGGCGGAAAAGAAAAATGTTGCTGGATCACGGTCCCTACAGGAAGTAGAGGTGGAGGCACAAAATGGGACCATGTCTACATTCTTCTTTTCTTTCCTAAAACTGTGCTGATCATTGTAGCCTAATGTCAGTCATGTGTGCATAAATTATGGCCCCAAAGGAGTTATGTAAATACTTCCTCTCCCGGGGTTTTTTTGGGGGTTTTTTTTGGTTTTTTTTTTTTTTGTCCAACAGATAGGGCAACTATGCATTGCTCTTCAGCAAGAGAAAATTGCAAAAAAAGGTAATGGATGTTTTTATGCCAGTCTTTGCACTTTCAGCTGTCCTATGCTGGTGCTGCATTTGATAACTCTGTGTTCTATATCTGTCAGCCTTTACCAAATACAGAATAGGTATTTCAGCAAACATACACAAAACTTTTAATCTAATGCAAAAATATTGAACCTGAATTTTATTTTCCCAATACATATATGCCAGGACCATTTAAAATTCCACTGTAGGGGGAAATTACTCTGCTCTCTTGCCCTGGGCTCCATCAGGGACTGGTCTCAAATCCCACTCTGTAGGGCTGGCCATGATCTGAATGTGCTTCTCTTTTGTCTTGGGGAAGCCGATGGAGGAAGTAATCTATCTTTTTGGAAGAGTAATGTGATTAAAAAAAATTCTGAAAGCTAGAATTAGTTTCTCAATTTAGCAAAAATCCTCTAAAGTGTTGTTTAAATAACTCTAGAGCTCAAATATCTATGGCTAGAAAGACAAAATACAGTCTTTAGAAGCAAACCCTTTTGGCTGTGTTCACAGCAGTAAATTAAACAGTGCCAGGAAACATTCCCAGGCAGAGGAATGCGATCATCAGTACTATTGAATTGCTAAAGTGATCCTTCACACCATTTTGGCTGAGCAGCAACTTGCACTCTCCCAAACAACTCCCAGACACGGTTTGGTCACTGGCATGGGCCAGGGAGCATTCCTGGTAGTGTGAACATGGGCCTTTCCATGCCAGTTGGCCACAGTGGTGGAGAACAGTCCCAGGCACATTTTATCTGGTAGTGAAGGTACAGATTTGTGTACCCCAACCAAACCTTGTTATGATTTTACCAAGTCATATTTTTAATATACTATGGGGCAATATGAAAAATATATATAGGTAATAGATTAAGTCTAGATTAATCTATCTATATAAATCTATTAACTGCAGCAAGCATAGTGCCAGTCCAGTATATATGATCTCCATCATCCCATGCCCAGGTAGAGATGATGATTCTCTGTGCACCTGGCCAGCCATCTCTCCAGGGCCATAGACCTGAGCTGCGTGAGAGGGGTTAATCCACAGCACATGATTTAGGAACCATATTTTGCTCCTTGCTATAGGTAACAAAGATTGTATAGATATAGATCATTAATTTATGTGAGAGTTTCTTGTTAGATTAAGAAAATAGGGAGGGGTCCCCTGGCACAAGCCGGTGGCTGAGTGTACATACCTCAGCTAACTCTGACTGAACTAGCTTTGATCCTGAAACTCCTCATCAGACAGAGTGGGACTGCAGCCATCTTGTGGGACTACTGTTTCCACAAAAGCAAAAAAAGAAGGTTCACAGTTACTGCAGAGAATTTCCGAAGTGGCTATTGCAGGTTGCTGTTCCTAAGTCACGCTTTTGACTTGGTGCATGAGGCAGTGTACATGGCAAAACCTGACCAGTGATCTCCCCGCATCTCCTCACTCCTGCTGACAGAAACTAAAGGAGATAATATTGAGAAATTATATTGAGAAATACTAATGTCCATGAGGGGATATTCGGAAGTCAGTAAAAGAGACAATGCAGTTGCCCATGTTGTTTTGGCTCCGCATCCTCAGTGTGGTATATTCCAGAATGCAGCTTAATGGTGGCCTATTATTTCTTGAATAATGCAATAACCTCTCCTTTAGTGGCATGAGTCATATATTCAGCTGAATAACTTTTCTATAGAATCGAAGAACCAATTAAGCAAATCATCACATCCTTCCTTATTTTGAAAAGAGAGCAGATTTAAGGACGTGTTCAATGTCAAGCAAGTTCTAAAGAAATCAGTGAAGGAAACAACAGATTGTATCATCAAATATAACCCTGTCTTTAGCTACATAAGAAGATCAAGATAAACACCAGATCTATGCACCAACTTCACACTAAGGTTCCTCAAAGTCTTCTCATCGGTTTACTTTTTGACAGCATTTTTCACATTCCAGCCTCATTTCAAGGCACACAATGGGAGCCAAAATTAATTGAATACCATTCAACATGAAGTGACTTATTTCCTCTCTGCCCACTCACAGGATTATGCAAGACCCAGTAGGCTATATTTCAGTTTTCAAAATTTCAGAATTGTAAGTGGAAAATTTAAATCCTCCAGGAAACTATTGGGCTGCATGCACCTCAGACAAATCTATACCATTTTACCAATGTACACCTTCTCCAGATTCATAAAATTTACTGTTCTGTTTACTACAGAAGAAAGCAACACATGGCAGTGCATTGCATTTTACTTTTTTTCTCCCATTTTGTCTTTTCTTTATAATATGCGTCCTGAGTCAACAAGGTAACTAGGCCTTCATTTAGCAAAGCACTCAGCTGTGTCTTTAACTTACTCCTTAAGTATGTGATCCCACCAGTGAAACCATTCGCATGATATGTGGCCTTAAGGGCCTTGCTGAAAGAAAGTCTTCTTCAAAAAATTATCCAAGCTAAAAAAAATTAGCCTGTTAGAGTGCTGTCATCTCGTTAGATGAGCATGTACAACAAATCCATTTACAATGCTTGCAGTATCTCACCATCCAGTACGCTAGGCTACCTGCAGAAAATCTTCAGTTCAAGAAAGATGAAGAGCTACTGGAGAGAGTCCAGCGGAGGGCTACAAGGATGGTGAGGGGACTGGAGCATCTCCCCTACGAGGAGAGGTTGAGGGAACTGGGCTTGTTCAGCCTGAAGAAGAGAAGGCTGCGAGGGGACCTTATAAATGCCTACAAATATCTGAAGGGTGGGTGTCAGGAGGATGGGGCCAAGCTCTTTTCAGTGGTGCCCAGTGACAGGACAAGGGGCAATGGGCACAAACTGAGGCACAGGAAGTTCCGTCTGACCATGAGGAGGAACTTCTTCCCTCTGAGGGTGACGGAGCACTGGAACAGGCTGCCCAGGGAGGTTGTTGAGTCTCCTTCTCTGGAGATATTCAAGACCCGCCTGGACAAGATCCTGTGCAGCCTACGGTAGGGGACCCTGCTTCGGCAGGGGGTTTGGACTAGATGACCCCCAGAGGTCCCTTCCAACCCCTACTATTCTGTGATTCTGTGATTCTGTGATTCATGGACAGTCACTAATAGCTAATCAAAGGGACTTATTGTAGCAGTTCCTTTGGGTTTGTAAAAACCTAAGTATGTATAGAAAAGTAATAAAAAATACCAGAGTATAAGAGCCCTGGCAGTTTTGGGATCCTGCAAAACCTAAGCAAACTGGTGTTGAACTTTGTTAACTTGTGCCGCAATGCAGTAAGCGCCCTTCATTGCCACAGGTTTCTGCAGAATTTGACAGTACTGCACAACTCCTAAGAAGCAGTGAATGCTAGGAAAAGGCTGTTTTTCAGTAACCCGAGTTATATATGAACCTCAGAGGCTGTATTTGATTTAAGCATGATGCTTTAATATGCAATTTTATGAGGGAAATTAAAGCAAAAGAAAGTTCCATAGTTGCTCTGATGATGTCTAGAAGATTGCTCTTGAAAGTGTTCGTTCTTGACCTGGTACCCATTGTACTCCAGGCAAATGAAAATGCTTATGAAAATAGACTTTACAGCCTGAAATATGACAAGATGCAATGTGCTTATGGAGTGATACAAACTACATTTAAAAAAGCAGTTCTATATGCTACTACAGAGTAAAATCGTTAGCTGCTTGAAAAAAATCAAGAACTGCGCTATTGAAAGGACTGCTCTTGCCGTTTGACTACTGACTGTCTACCTTCCTGTATCAAGGTGAGGAACACAGTTCTGTCTGGATTTTATGTTCTGATGCATGTGGATAAATGACTTTCATTGTGCAAATACTTTGTTTTCTGATTGAGAAGTGTGCTTTCTTAAAATGCACCATTTTAACATTGTCAGTTCAGTCCAAATAACTCTTAAGACAAATCACTATTATTACAGAAGTTAGAGAGATTTAGGACTTAATAAATTTGCCATTTACTTTAACAAGTCAAGTATCTGGTCTTTAGTTCTCATTACCTCACACTTGTTTAGCAACCCAGTTTCTTGCAGCCTTGACCAGATGCTTTGGATCCTTCCAGCATGTTCAGGGTGATTAGCATAGTTGCCACACATACACTGGTGCTTCAGCATCAGGCTGTCATACACAACGCCTTCAGCACAAAGACAGCACAATAAGAAACAGTAAGTAAAACAAATGCATTATACTCTCTGTGTCATGCATACTATAGCACAACGGGATCTTATTTGTCAGTAAGAGCAAGATGAAAATTCTGGATATTAATTCGTCCTTATTCTGGGAGACTGAATTTTTAATTAAAATATACATCTTGTGATATTGATAAGGTACAAATTAGTTCTGAAGAAATTATACTAATAAGCACAGTGAACTATAAAGAAGAAAGGAAATCAAGTGGTGTCTTGTTAAAGCTTTTCATGCCTATTATTGAATCACTTATTTTCTGTTTCTCTAGTGAGCAAGGTGAGTTAAGGCTGCTAATCAAGCTATATATAACATGAAAAGGCAATATATTCATAGCAGAGTAAGGAAAATCATTCAGAAAAACCTTTTAAAATAAATTCTTAAATGGCAATGCCACTCTGTATTTGTACTGCTTAACTAATATTATATTGATTCCAGATCTCAAAGCATATCAGATGAAAATTTTAGAGAGTTGCAGCAGCAGCAGCAAGGGTCCTTTTTCATTAAAACAAGAAGTTACATCCACTACTCAGTTAGGACCAAATCCTGTTGTTAGACTGCAATGCAAAGTTCCTTTTGAATTTTCTATGCTCATTTATCAAAGGACAGAACAACTTTATATGGAACAGCTATCAATATCACTGTGCTCTGTAGCTGTGTGTTGGGAGCAAAAGAGAAATTTTAGTGAGTAGGCTCGAGATAAACTCCATTTTCAAGGCTTTCAAATCAAGTCTGAAACCCTGAAAAATGATTTTATTTACCTACTTGTTGTTAGCATTTCCCCCAGAAAAGTCTGGAACAAAAAATATTTTCCTTACCCCTGTGAACCATTTTCATTTGGGAAACATCTGGATTTTTCTTCCCCTTACAGTTGAAAGAGACTCATATTAACAAATTCTCCAGGCTGCAAAACTTGGCATTCAAAATCTCTTTCTTATTGCCACCACTACTGGGGATGCCAACACAGTTCTGGGAAAACTGTGTTAGCCTGCTACTGAAAAGTCAGCCAGTGAAGAAAACAAAAAAATTAAAGTCCAGATTCAACAACATGCTCAATACTACCCTTATTCAGCATAGTTCTTGAATGGATATTGAAATTTAATAAAATTTTTAAAAACTCTACTGAATAAGACTCTGTATACATTGTAGGCAAAGCAAAGTTAAGGTTCTGAGATAATTTAGTTAGAAGCCGGCCAGAAATTATGCTGCTCTGGAAATATTTATGCTGAAATATTTCTTAGCTCATGCACTTTAGAACTGATCCTTTGGGAGCTTGCTATTTAAGCAAAAATGATAATACAACAATAAAATTAGGCACAAGGAGAATGCAACAATAATATCTGTGTGCATTATGGCTAAGTTGATGCTAAATGATTAGCTAACAAAAAAAAATATTTCATGAGCAACAAATTATTGTATTTACTTTCTTGGATTCTCTTACTTTAAAGAAAAAAAATAGAAGCGGTGAAAATCTGGAGCTAATAAACTAAGGCAGCTTAAAATCTTTGCTATTATTCTCGAAGCGGTTAATAATTTCCTTTCTCTGAAGCTATTTTCACTGCAGCATTTATAAACTTTGCTTCTCTATCATCCGGTCTCGTAAGTTATTTAAAATGGCAAGTATGCACACAAATAAGAGCATGCTCACATACCTTGTTTTCCTTTTCTTGGCACCCAAAGTTTCAAATTCTAGTCTGTAGCATACCCAGACTGTACAGGTTACCATTACATAAAAAACCATTTATTCCCATCCCCCTGCCCAACAGAGAAGATGTTTAGATGCTAAATGTACATGCATGAGGACTTTCAGAAACTCTTAGGCAGAGTAGGCAGTTATAGCCAATGCATTTGAATGGAAACAGTTGTTACATGTTAACAAAATTTGCTGAAAGTTGAAAGTATCTCCTGCCTGCCACGCTTTCAATGAGTGTTTTATTCTAATTATCAATGCTCCCTACAGGCTTAGGTTTGCATAGTCCAAACTGGAGTTAACAGAAATTTAATAAATACATTTTACTGTGTTTTTACTATTATACAGAATCCAGATGTTATATAATAATGACACTTCTTGATGACTTTTATCAGGGTTGCAGCTAAACAGTGGTTTTGAAGTGAAATGCTAACACTGCGTATTCAGGATGCCTCCTCTGGTTGACATAGATATAAACATCCCTTTCTTAGTACATTAGTATTTTTCCCAAAATGAAATATATCTAAAAATGTAATCTTACTGTATGTGAATTATTTTGTCTGAATCAAAAATCAGTGTAATAGAATCAGGTCAGTATTGCATGACAGAAGCACCTCCTCCAAACTTTTAAATACTAAGGTCTTCATACCACTGAGTATAAAATTTATTTCTAGCAGGACTAATTGACTTAAGAAAACACTGAAATATATGTTTTCATTTATTGCAAGCATCTAAATTGATTTAGGATGTGCAAGTAATTCAGATGTGTGGCTGCTGGTCGTACAGCACATGTGCTTGGTACAATACCACAAAGCAGCAGCAGAGCTTACTGCTAAAAATAGCCTGTAGGACTTCCCTGACAGGATTCAGCCAACAATCTCCCCACCCTCACAAAAAAAGAGAGAGGGAGACAACTGTTTTCAATTGCAGACTGTTGTGAAATATTAATAAAAGATGGTTATTCTGTCTCTCCAGAACAAATGCCTACAGCCAGATTCTGCTCTCAGATTCCTTGTGTAAATCTGAGCAGCTCCACTGAGACTGGTGGATTTATTCTGGATTTACACCAATATTACTGAGGTCAGAATGTGGCCCCGATGACAGACTGCACCATTGAACCATATAATGATAGAGGACACAGGATAAAAGAAACGGAATTTGCATTAAGTGAGAAAAAAACTTCTGGGTCAGCTTCTTCAAATATTTTAAACTGAGGGGAGAGCAGGAGACCTAAAAATTTTTGGCTAGCATCATGCTTTGAAGAAGGTGAAATGCCCTGGAGAACAGCAGTACTAATCAGAAAGGCCAAGGGAAGAATATCTAATAAATTATTGAGAATAAAAATATGAACTAAATAATGCCATATATTCTGTAAACCATCTAAAGGAATACCAAGTAGATTTTATATTTTTTTCCATCTTTAACTCATTAACTTGTGCATATACTGCATATATATTGCATAGCTCTCTCACAGCCATCACCATTCTGATTCCCTTCAGATATTTGGCTAAGAGCATTTTCTCTCATGACTCACAAAAATATAGGCTCTTTTTTAATTCACATGTAATATTCTGCTGCAACAGTTTTCCTTCTACCTTTATTCTCTTCCAGGAACACATTTTCTTTAAATAGGAAAAAAAAAAAAAACCAGTAAGAAATAATTCAAGACAGGGAGGATGTTTCATGTTCATTTCTAAAGTCTGAATTTTACCTCACTTCATGCTGTATTAGAATTTGCTCCCTTTCCACCCACCCATTCCTTCCTTCCATGCTGTTAAAAATGGTAGCGTTGCAACTGTGGACAATGGCTGGCTGCATCTTGTGTTCTCTAAGGGAGCAAACCACAGAACCACAGGACAGCTCAGCTTGGCAGGGACCTCCAGAGGTCTGCAGTCCAACCCTGTGCTCACAGAAGGGCAGCCTTGTGACCAGACCAGGTTGCTCAGGGCTTTCATCCCAAAGGATTTTGGAAAGGCTGTATAAGAACAAATTAAAAATGGTTCTGGGTTTCTTTCTTTCTGTGGTCCAATGAATAAATGCTAGGGCACCATCCAGACCCAGGGAATACTACGCACAAGTAAAGCCATGCTATAACATACCATACCATACCATACCATACAATACCATACCATACTATACCATGACATATGTTAATAATACACATATCAATCTTGTTATTCACAGAAACTGTATCAGAACTGTTGATGTTTCAAAGAGTCTGTTCATTGTCACTCCAAAGGTGTTAATCTCATAATAGAGATATTTGCCCTATTTTCAACGCACTCAGAAACTGCAGTGACAAAGGTTATATATGCAAGTCTGTAAGCCTAGAGACATGTCCGGTAAAGGGATTTCTTCAAGCAGAAAGGAAAGGCTTCATTGTGAATGCAGAGGTGTGTGCTATATTGGACCTCCTAACTGGTCGATCAGCCACAGGGTATGGCTGTTAGCATATATGAAGCTTGGAGGCGGCTAAAGCACTGCACTGTGTCTTCAGCCAGTAGCTAGAGGAGATTAAAGAGGTGAAGGTACAGAGCAGAAGTGGACAAGCAGAAGCATAAAGTTGTAGCACACCCTGACTCCGCATATGCGCTGTTTGTATTTCCATAGCAGAACCCATCAGGCTTCCTTGTGTCAGATCTCAAGCCCTTTACACCTGGTATGTCCCATTTCCCGACACCATCTCCATTCAGTGTTTGTCCTCCATAATTTCATTCCTTCTCTTATTCTTCCATCTCAGCTTCGTGTTTTCTTTCTTGATCAGTTCCACTGATGCCACAAGTCCCCAGATATACATAACCCCTTGATCCTAGTCCTCTTTCTGGGGACTTGTAAAGGAAATTGTCATTAAACTTTAGCAACGAGACTGAAACAGCCGAATTCACATTTGTAACTCCATTCATCCTTTCCAGTGGGACTGTGGATTTTTGAACAAGACATTGATGCCTATGCACAGTGAGCTCACTTTCAGTGTGCTCTGTGAATCTTTTACAATGAGTTTACCATGTTTTGGGGTCTCTGTGAACCACAGTTTAAAAAAAAATGGCCTGATTTAATAATTCTCTTTATGCACAGCTGGTCTTTCAGCAGAAACTCAGGGAAAGTGAATTCCCATGTTTCCTTCTGTACAACCCAAATGTTGGTTACCCAACAAGTGAATTTCTTAAATTGACAGTGTATTTACAGAAGAAGAAATTATGTCTTTCATCTTTGAATGTCATCTTGCATCCATTCACCCACTTGCAGTGCTTTAAGAATATCTATTTTTCTTTTGCAGTTTTTTTATTTAAAATACTAACTTTTTGTTTTCCAAGTTCACTTTCTAATGGGAAATATGGGAGAGCATGCTGTCTCACACAGTCATATACAGTGTCTGCTAAGGACTCCGTCCTACACCAATCCATGGTCACAGCCTGAAGAGCTGTAAGCTTTCAGAGCATGGCAATTTTTGTGAAGGAATTAATACTTCTGGCAGAAACCTGAATAAACAATTATCTCCAAGTATTCATTTCCCCTTTCTTGTGCACCGAGTAAGTCAATCTTCACTTCTAACCGTGCTGTAATGTTATATTGAGATTCAGGCTCTTAAAATGATGGACTGTCTTGCAAGGATAGATTATCCATAATAAGAAATGGGGTTTCTGTGGTTATTTTTGCGGGTTCTAATCACTCTGCTTTGGACAGCCCAGGCCATAGCAATAGAAGATGCTCCTTGAGTGACTGGACTGCCCAGGGCCTGACCATAAAATCTTCCTTTGTAGATTCCACACAACTGCTGAAAGACACCAAAGTTGTAGCCAACATCACCTTTTACTCATGGCTACAGAAGAAAATGAGAATTATATTGCAGCTTTCCTACTTACTGGTGGTCTTTCTGCAATTTATTGGTGGTCTCTCTACAAAACAGGCAACAAGAACACAGAGAAAAGTACCAGAGGATAGAGAAATGAAAGAAAAACTATAAATTACTTAAAGGCACCAAAAATGCACCTGTTGCTAAATTGCTAGAGCCAGTCAATGATAATAATTTATGACTGTGTGAATATTAACCCTGTGATTTATCAGCTGCACTAGTTGACTTGATGCCAGTACAGCATCATAAAAACAAGGAACAGTAAGGCTAAAACTGAATGCATTGCTGCAGGAGGTATTTGAGGCATTTAAATCTGTTGATCCTACATGAACAAACGCATTTGCCCTGCCTATTAAAAGCAGTCTTTAGGGAATCCTACCAGTCGTGTAGACATGCTGGCTGGGCTGGTCCACGTCTGGGTGAGGTAATGTGGAATCAGCAGGGGAAGATGGGGTCCTGGACACTGGCCGATGTTTATCTAATCCCACCATGCCAACTGTAGCCATCTGAGCCTGGTATACTTGCAACTGGTGGACACGCTGATGTGCCAGGAACTCCTGTTTCCAAGAAAACAGCACAGTAGAAAGAAATGTGAGATGGGATCAAGTACGACACTGAGGGAAACATGTCAACAAATTAAGTTCATTAGGTCAGGGCTGTAATAAACAGTGTGGAGAAAAAAAACCCCAACAACTCGCACCTAAGACCTAGTCAATAAATCCATTCAACAGATGTTTTCACACTGACAGTGTGGGCTGCTGACTTTGCTGGAGAGTAGGTGATGGCAGGCAACCTGTCAGTTCCCCCTGACAGAGGAAAAGATGTCTTCGCATGCAGAGGCTTATAAAAGACAAAGGTTTTCCTAATATAATGAATATATAATATGATGTTAGAATATGCATTTTGTGACCCTGCACAAATAAAAATAAAATCTTCCTATAGTACTGAAAGCAAAGAGTGGTGTCCTTACTACTCAGTACCAAATTTGCTGAGCAACTGTGAGTCAAGTTTCTACAGAGGGCTCAGTTGCCAGAGTGTCCTGGAAAACAGGAAAAGTTTGAACATAGGTTTTCACAAATCACTTAGAAATTTGGGAATTGTTACATGAGGTCCCACTTGGGGAGCTTTTTTTGTCAAGGAAGATTTCCTCCTCTGTTTTGTTTGTCAGTAGATGGTGACTCTTGCTGACATGACAAAGGCTGAAACCCTGCTGAAGTCGGTAGAAACCTTGGCATTCACTCGCTCCACAGAGCAGGATTGCTTTGCAAGCCCTTTTGCTTTCTGGTGGTTTTTTTTTTGTGTGTGTGTGTGTGTATAGTCCTATAACCTCAACAGAAAGTGAGTGGCAAAGAAAGATTTCCAAACCACTTTGCAATATAAATTCGGTTGAAATTCACATTTCTGTCTTAGAACTGCCAGGCTTCGGTATATATATATGCAGATATATATGGTATATACATGGCTTTTTTTTTTTTTTTTCAATTAAACCCTGTAACAATTAGCAGTGCTGTATGCTGTTGCTTGGGACAGCAGCTCAGAGACCTAGCCTGGCCAAGGAGGGATTGCTGGGTGCTCGGAGAGGTGAAGCTGAGTTCAGGCTGTGTGGGAGGGCAGGTGGGAGCACCCAGGAGTACCCCAGCCCCTCGTGTGCTGCAAAATGAATCCACAGCTAATGGGAAGTGAGAATGTCTACGCTGCATGTAAAAAAAAAGAGACCTTTATGAAACCGACTGCTCATCAGTAACAGCTAAAATGAGAACAAATGTTTTAAAAGGCAGCCTTAAAACCCACATTAATATCTAGGGTCACCACTATAGGTCACCACATAAGGTCATGGGAAGGGTAAATCACCTGGGACCTTGTCATGAGTGACTAAATAAAGAAAGAAAATATGAGTAAGCAAAAATAGATTTTACAAGAGGTGTCTTGGTTTGGGGTCATTGAACCATTTTACTTTCTTTGACTACAGTCCTCAACTTTTCCTATTGCTTTTTTAATGTATGATGACAGGTTGGTGTTATATATTCCAGGAAATATCTTGAGGTATCTGAAGAGGTCTGTGTATCCCTTTTCCTTATGAACATAACATAACATAACATAACATAACATAACATAACATAACATAAGATTCAGGAATTCTTTCCTGAAATGCCTAAGTGCCTTGCTTTTACTTAGTTTCACGTATTTTAATTGTGATAAATTTTCAGAGGAGATATTTTTTGTGCTCCTAGGCATACACATCTTTTCTAATCTTTGCTGGGAGTGTGCATGATTGGAGAGAAGTGAAGAACACATGGACCCTATTGTGTTGAATATTTTACCTATGGAGAAGAGAATTAGATAAACTCCTTTGTGAGGATTTAGTGTTCATTTTTCTCAATGAATTCTCCTTCTCTGGAGATATTCAAGACCCACCTGGACAAGGTCCTGTGCAGCCTGCTCTAGGTGACCCTGCTTTGGCAGGGGGGGTGGACTAGATGACCCACAGAGGTCCCTGCCAACCCCTAACATTTTGTGATTCTGTGATTCTGTAATGCTGGCTTAATGTTCAATAAAGGAGGATCAGGAGGTATTTTGCTGTCTGTGGCACGATTGCTCCCTGCATCCTAGGTCAAGTGGTGACAGCAGCACTGTGTCTGATGCAAGTGTATTCACCTTCTCCTGCCTACTCTTCCAAAGCGTGAGAGCTAGCCAAGTAGTTTGGAAGAAGCCAAACTCCTACCTGCAGGAGCCTTTCTTCACACAGAGCTTTACTGCCATACATGTAATCAGCTGCATGGTTATTATTTCTGCTGCTCTACCCAGTCTCATAGCTAACTAAATAGCTGATGTCTGTGTAGCTCTTCGATCAAGGGGATTTTTGATACTATCAGTGTTCACACTAACAAATTATAATTCATTAACTGAGTTCACTTTTTAAATAATTATTAGAGTACAGAAGACAATAGGGTTTGTTGCATATTGGAATGCTCTTCAAGCTAGTGAGGGTGCATCAGTGTATTCTGGCAGTCTGCATTAAACAGTATTATTTAAATACACTTCTTAAGGACATCTTGGAAATTCAGTGATTAGTGAGGGGGGATTCATACTGTGCAAAAATGTTTCTGTTTGGACTTTTCCCAGTGCTAGTAGACTCTGAGCTCTAAAGACCTTGTCTGTCTTTCTTTTTTTCAGACTTGAACTTAACTTGTGAAATACCTACACAATCTTTTTCAGTGAAGCAGTAGGTTTGCCATTCAAACAATATCTAAAACCTAATCTATCCAGATCTCACCTGAAAAAATCAAATTAAGTGTTTTTTGGTTTTTGTTTTTTATGGTGTTTTGAAGAAGGTAAAAAGCTAAGTCTGGAACACCACAAAAAGTAGATAATTCAGGAAGATGCTCTTACCTTTGCACATAAGAAGATTAACTGTTTCTGTCTATGTAACCAATAGAAAGAACACTGTTTTTCAGGCATATGAACAAATCAAGGTATTTTTTTAATGGTAATCAACCTGTGTGAACATCACCTAAAAGCCAGACGGCCATATGTTTCAGCAATTTTCAAAGACCAAGAAGAGAGCCTGATCTTGCTCTCCTGTTATTTCCTGCTAAAGTCTGCTTTGTTTATATCATTCTTCCCTCCTCAAATGAAACCAGACACGTACCTGGAATTTGACACATGTTTATCAGCATAATCAATCTAGGGAAGGAGAAAAACTTGTGGATGGTTGGATGGAAAGCTGCATGACACCTGTTTTAATTTCTGGAGGTCACAGAAAACTGTTTCCCTGTGAAAACCTTTTAAAATTTGTCAGAAGTGCAGTACTTTGTCTCACAAGGCTTACACTAAGGCTTGCTTACATCCTCTGGTGAGTTCCAGTTCCTTTAGTTGTAATTTTAAAAACTCTAGGCATCAGCAAAGTTTGGACTTGTTCAGGTTTTAGCCAAAGTTTTAGGCTAACTTCCTGATTAGGTTTCATTTTGCAGACAACAGGCACTCATGAAGTACATACATTTTTTCCAGCCACCTACATATTTATGCTGTGAGCATTTGGAATACTCTTTATCACACAGGCAAGTGGATTAATGCAATGAGTAATGTGGATAATCAACACACTTCTCTGGCTCCCCAAAAGCCCACCTGGCCTCTGGAAGGGATTAAAGCAACACAATGAATTCATCTTCAGGTTTTATGTGCTACAGCACTGCACACACATGTCCGTCTCTCCAGCAATATGACAAAAGCAGTATTTGCACATCTGCAGGGTTAGTGATTTGTGTGAATATATTTGGAGCATTTCTTAGGTAACGCGAGCCCTGCCTGCCCGGCATGGAGCCTGCTAGTTCCAGGTGTCTGAGATTAGTTCATTAGGAGAGGCAGGCAATTAGGGCCTCTGCCAGAGCGAATGGAGGGCTACTCATCATCTTCCCCAGAAACCAGTTCAGGCTCTCAGTAATTATTTTGAGAAGGATTTTTAGAGTCAGTATCTATGAGAAGATGACCCTTTTGAGGGCATGGGAGGTAAATATTTGTTATTCTCCTAGTATTACTGCAAGGTTTGTTGTTTAGGTGGAGCTGGAATTGATTTAGTTTGGTGTGAATACTTCTTTCATGTAGATGTGTGATTTGTGTATTTTGGGGCTTAATGTTTTGTATATTCTGAGGATTGTAATGAGAGCTACTTCCTTCTTTCTACTGCCTGTGACAACTGGTGATGCACAAGTGTATTCAGCTGGATTGTTAGATGGTCTGTGTTGGATGATAAAGCATAGCTGAATTGTCTATGAATTATTGCTCCTTCGAGCCGTTATGCTTTGTGCAGAGAAAAAATATGAGGGGTTCACTCATAAAATTCTTTCTTGCCTCTCAACAGTCTGCTTTTTAATTTAGTTTGATATGTTTATATTTAATCACAGCTAAACAAATCCCAAGATTTGTATGTCGGTGTCATAATCCTAAGTATGTATGGGTATATGCACACCTCTCTTCAGGGTTTATGCTATGGCTTTTTTTCATTGTGGTAAAAATTTTTTTTCTCTGAAGAAATTCAAAATTTGCTATTTGTAATAGCAAGATTACTGCTTATCGTCTCTCATACATTTGTGGCTAGGTTTATAGCCCTCTGTTGTTGTGCCTCTACTGCATTCTGCCGAAGTATGAAATGTGTGCTAATGCCTATTAACTGTTAAAAATCATTCATATATCGCCCATCCTCCTCTCCTCTTCCCTCTCCCAAAGACCTTCAGTACTACTAACCTTAGAATGTTTTTCCTCTCTAAGTATTTTTTGGCGGTCTGTTCTCTGGTTAATTTTTTCCTACCATTTCCACATTGCTTTCTGAAAATCACCCAAAGGACCAATTATTACTGAGGAGGAAAAATACATATGTGCTGCAGGAAGTTTTGCCTTACGTGAGGATGAAAACACAACCTTCTCGGCAGGCAGACCTGCTGTCTTCCAAGTACTTCCTGCGAAGCATATTTCTGATTCCTACTCTGCTGCCTTGTCTCACCCTGGAGCTCCTCATGGAGCCCCTACTCTGCAGACTCTGCTAGCCCCCTGTAGTAGCATG